GAGCATTTTGTGTAAGTGTTTGGATTTTGTAACAAAAGCAAAAACCTTTATTTGTTTAAAACCTTCAAAAGGAACAGTTTAGACATTACATTTCAGGATGAAGTGATGGGAGGTTGCAGACGAAACATGTTGGCTTATATACAGTAATTGATGACTTGAAATAAAATGCAAGAAGGAAAACCACAACAAAGCTCCTGTAAAGACAAAAATCTTTTGGTTGCTCAAAAAATAATCAATACCATACATTTGAAAAATGAGGGTTTTGGTTGCCATTTCTCTGAAGAGTTGTCTCACTGGTCGTACTGTTTCACTTCTGTTGTGTCTGCTCCTCAGTTCTTAGTACTTAACCACCGAGCTGTGGCTCTTTCTTCTCTAAACGCAAGCTGAAAAATGTCCCTTTGTGTAAACTTGTATTGGTAAAACAATACGCTAGACTCACAAACACACTGTAAAATGTGCTTTTGTAAAGGGACACTGCGGAGGCAAAGCAAACATCCCCTAACCCCAAACCAAACAATTATGCTTTTGTGGACTCTGTAATCACAAAACAAATCTTTGACTGCAACAGAAACGGGACAAATCGTGTGGTTGGAACACAGAGACCTGAGAGACCCGAGCGCCTCCACCTGCAACACCTGCAACACCTGCCAGACTTTTACTAACACACGTGCTGCTTTGATCGGATCAGCGCTCCGTGTTCGTCAGCAGCTCTGCGTGTTGTTGACGGTGTTGTTTACCTGTCCTGGGAGGAAATTGGTTCTCGGCCACTTGTGCCCTGGATGCAGATTATTAGGCCGGGCTCAGGTAACTGATATGTTCCTGGATGAAACGTAAACAAGCGTGAAAGACCTTATGTCACACATGAGTAGAGGCGACACAGAATCTAATTCACTTATGAATAAAATCATCAGCTGTTGAATGAGCCGCTGTATCTTTTCCCATTCCCTGCCATTGATGAGTAACACCTTAAAACCCATGACTTATGGCGAGGTACGGCCAACTGGTAATGAATATACAAAATGTGTGACCTTTAACTAAATAAAAACCACATGTTCGTAACAACAAACCACCAATAAATGGAATTTCTAAGCGTCTAAACTGGCCATTTCAGCAGTTGTTAGGATGAACAGCAGAGAACCACACCTTGTGATTGGAGAAGATCCCGTCCACAAGCGAGAGTGGACAATAATTGTGAGCTTGCAGGTATTGAATTGGGACTTACACATGCCGATGAGCACGATTATTCCAAAACCAGAAAATATACTGTACCGCTAGCCACAAGCCAGCCAAATACTGTCTCAGTGTGCTGTTGTGTTTAGTCTCTGCAGAGGTGTACACCTGGGATCTGTTTAAAGACATTCATAATTCAGTGATGGATTGATGTAGTGTTTATGAAACAAAGCATTTCTTTTTTCTTTTTTCTCTCTTGATAAACAAACTTCAGTTCTTGGGAAAATGCGAGTCTCAAAAACAAATTTTGGGGTTCTTCATCCAGACTGGTGTACCTTATTATTTTCCTGTTTCAATATATTGTTGTCATTTACCTCAGTTACCATGTGTTTTTTGTTCCTTTCCCTCTTTGTCCTCTTGTATTTTTACCAGAGAAACATCAATATTTACATCTTTTGTCTCTCTCAAGAAGATCTTGTTTATTCTTCAGTCTCAGTGTAGGTGTCTCGTACTATAATTCTGGAGGAAATACCATGAGTCTCGTGCCAGTTGCAGTTCACCACAAACCCAAGTTTGGTGGAGAGGGGCATTTTTCATACAAATCATGGAAAATGGCCTTCAGTCGTAAGTGAACAGCCGTAAATAGAGTTCCATTGCCTGTGGTAATAGCTTTTAGCACCGCAAAGGCAGACTGCAACCACTGCCTGTGGAAAAGCTGGGTCAAAGGGCTCTTATTGTTTCTATGCATTCACGAGATAGTCATAAGTATGGAGCCAAATCCAGGTCAAACTTTTGAGTTTTGAAGGTTTTGAGCCTTATTTGTTAAGCTGTCACTCATGATCACACACGCCCCTCTCAGTGGATGCCCCGCCCCCTACACCACTTCAGGGTCAAAAGTCTGAATCTGAAAAGAAAAACAATCCGAAAGTGAAAAAAATATCCAAAAGTGATCAAAAAATTCTGAAACTGAAAATATAAAATCTGCAACCAAAATATATAATACAGCAAATATTCAAAAAATATATGCAATTGAAAAATGAAAAAATAAATGAATTCAAAAAATAGAACTGAGTCCAAACTATCTTCAACCCAAAAATACCTTCTGTCCACTTATTTTTTATTTGGAATTGTTGTATTCTTCAATGTTCAAGACAATAACTTTCATGTTCAAATTGGTTTTTAAAATGATAAAAACTTGACCTGGATTTGGCTCCATGAATAACTTACTACCAGACTGTTCAATCCACCATGTCTCAACTGTGGGAACAACCCAAACTACCTGGAGAGAACCCACACAGAAAGGCCGATGGGTGGAGATGATCCCAGGACCTCCTTGCTGTGAGGCAACAGTGCTTAACCACCACACCACCGTGCCGCCCTCTTTAGGTGTTTTGTTAAAGACGGTGTTTTATGGAAAAACGCATTTATTACGTGATAACTGGAGCTCCCTGGGATATGTATCTGGTGCTACGAAGATGGATACTTCAATAATGTCAGAGGTGGTTGGGGAGGGCTGCTTGTGTCAGTACAAAGGCTGCAAGGAGCAAAGACCGATGTGGAATGTACCTACCCTGGAAGCTGAAGTCATATGGGGCTAATCAGTTCCAGTGATGCATAAATTACAAAAAGGGGCAACAGTGATGGTCAGCTGCAGGGTAAGAGTCAGGGAAGATAATCAGAGAATCAGAACAGAAATTCAGTGCTGTTTGAGAGGTCAATTCAGGACACAAATCACGCACCCCAAGCCCGTCTGTCTCACTCAAATTACACAACAGTTGAGCAACATGTGTTTCTCCTTTACCCTCTACTCCTCTCTCTACGTCGCCCTCTCTTTTTTCTTCCGTCACTAGAACGGTGCCTAGAAGTGGAGTTGCTTTGGTCCAGGATGACATGTCACAACTTGCCATCGGATCAGGGGCAGCTTTGGAGTGCTATGTTGCAGTTGTGACATCAAACAAGACTAGGAATGTAGGTGTAAGAAGCAGGTAGAAAAATGTTTAAAAAGTGGGACTGCTATACAGGTCAGCACTAATACTAAACTGGTTTAGATGAGTCCTTTCTTCAATGGTATTTTCCAGCCCAGTTACACAGCCAAACTCCAATGAAATTGGGATCGAACATTTAAGAATGTGTTGTACAATAAAGCTCTGTATATTGTGGACTAATCTCGATAGGATGTAACTGATTATTTTTGGTTCCAGTCTAGTTATTTCTTTTTTTTTTACTCTCAACTGAACTCAATATTCACCGCTAACACCTTTACTTTCAGAAGAGCAAAAATGTGCACGCCTATAGATTGCTGTTGTCAATTGCAGCAAAGAGTGTGAACTCGATGGCCTATCATTGTGTTCTCGCTCCGCTTGTGTCCTGAAATGGCCCCAAACAGTCTAACCGCATTTTGCCTTGTAGCACCCAGGGGAACATAAGGATCGCATATGCCTTTGGCAGGAGTCCGCACCCAAATTCCTCAGCTATGTGCTCACAAACGTCCTCTCTGCCCCCCTCTTCCTCTCCCTCCTACTTTGCTCTGACACCATAACTTTGGCCCACATTGCTGTTCACTGTAAAGAAATGCAAACACTACTTCTTTCCCATTGACAAGGGGGTAGAAGGGGGGGAGAGGGGGGGTGCATAGAGAGTGCCACTTTCAGCTTTGCAGATACATGCACAAGTGGCTATACTGACTGTAATTTCACCAACTGTACGTTTGTGCTTGTTAACATTTTAAAGTGAGACAAAGACTTGTGCAGGGGAACCGTTCCGATCTGCGAGTTCTCCTTTCTTCTTATGGGGCTTGTCCCCAGTGGCTTGTCTAGTTAAAGGTTATCTTTTACACTCAACTCAAAGTCAAAGAGACTGGGGCCGGGGAGACTGTGCAGTTTGCTGTGTAAGGGTGACTGGGTTCACTGGTAGGGGGTGCATTGTGTGGAATGTGGTTGTAAGGAAAAGCCAGGAGGAATCATTGTAGGGAAGCACTGAGACGCCAGAGCTGGGAGGGCGGCACATAAGGAGATCATTTTTTGTCTTTATGAAACAAGCCCCTTTGCGCAACTTGATCCTTCTGTTTGAGGGTTACGTATGTATCAATGCCTACTTTACTGTCAATTCCAGCAAAGAAACGGTGTGAAAGACAGTAACTAGATTTTCTCTTTACACACTTTGATTGTCAGGCAAGTGGTTGTTTCTTGACAATGTACTGTATACAGTTTTTGGCTTTTTCGCTTGATAGTTTTAATAAAAATCTAATATTACACAAGGCCTACATCAAAACCATGATACTCTTTGCGCATAACCCTGTGCAACTTGAATCAACGTCTGCAGGTCTTGTAACACTACATTCCACTCTACACTTCAACCTGAAAACTTGGCTCATTAGTTGGGATGGAAACGTGACCTGAGGGCAGACAACCTCAGACAATCATCTCCTGCAAAGCCATTCTCCAGTTTAGATATTGCAATATTTACTGCTAAAGACGGGATATGCCAGTGAATCAGTGACTGACTGCTCCCACAGGAATCAGCAGTAATAGTAGTAGTATTGGTGAATAATGTTATGATGCCCAAAGCTTTGTTAGTAGCCGTCTATTTAAAAAAAGGGCAGTAGACATACCTTGCTTACCGGATAAATTTGCCCAGTGTTGTTTCTGTCAACCAAGTGCTTCAAGACTGTGACAAAATAATTTAAGCTCAATATCCCGCTTACCACCTTTCTGCTTCCTCTCCCAGCCTTCTTCCACACATAGTGAAGGATGTTTTTTATGTTCCTACCAAACCAAAACGTCTGCATGCAATGTCTTTGTTTAGGTTGAATGACACATCTGACACAACTCTAACACAGAGGAACATTTATTCAGGTCTTAATACATTAATATTGAACAAGTTACATATTTGTATTGATTGCAAATCACACAGCAAAATTCCAATTTATTCCTGTATATAAATTCAATGTAACAGATTTTCATTTTAAAATATGTAATGGGAACTCTTCCTCTTGTTGTGAGGAGCACTTAATCATAACATGTAAGTAAAAGTGCAATATCTCTCTATTCATAAAATTACAAAAATTGGTCCCCAAACTGCATTCTGAGCAGGAATTCTCTGACAGACTAAATATTGTGTTTTCCATTTAAAAAATTCAATATGTCTTAACATTTTTTTCAGCAATTTGCTTTTTGATGCTATTTTCTAAAAACTGTAGCTAAATACAAGAAATACAACATTGTCAGTTAACAAAAGCTTAGCATATTAATCACTGCATCTATTCTCTAAATAAACTTCATCTTTATCCCATATAACTATCTGGAACATATAGTTTTGACAAGAACAACACCATAATATCTCACAGCGCTATGTTACAATAAAATATCTCTGTCATAAGTTCAATGAAAAGGAAAATAGCAACATAAAATTAAGGAATACAATGCATAGATTCAATCATTTAAAAATGTAGAGATATAATTTACTTAGTACAGCTCGTTTACTTTTAGAGTGAATCCTGTTTGACTGGCTGTATGGATTCTTTACAGTTTATCCTGACTTAAGTGACCGGCACAAATATATATTTCATTCTGAACATATCACATGAAAAAAAAACGCTAATTGTATCGCTTTGACTTCAAAGGCAAATTTGGCTAAAGTACACTATGGCATATTTGGGTAAGAAAGGGAAACACCCGGCACCAAAGCCAAACAGCAGCTTATTTAACGGCCTTTTGAAATGTCAAGAATTCCTTTTTACTCTAGTAAAACCTGCCCAACTTCCTGGACTTAGTAGCAAAATGACATGTGGTGTCAGACCATGTGACATTACTGATCTGGAGTATGCACGTTTTTGTTCCCCCCCCACCAAACACCCAAACTATTTAAAGAGCATTCCCCCCCTCGGTTTGAGGGAAAGTTGCTAGCAGAACGACTTAAGTAAAAGCTTGCATACTCAGAGCCCTTTATAACACATGATCAGACCCACATTGATATATGTGGTTTCTGGGTAAACAATGCAATAAACATTAAGGTAGAATAAGCCGATTACTTTTGTTATCTCTAAACGGGTCTTTCAGCCACAGAAACAGTCGACTTCGTTAGAAGTACTCGTGTTCATAGACACCCTTCTCACAGAGGTGACCACTATTTGTGAGTCTGTATAATAAGTCACTGACAGGCCGTCAAGCTCATTGTTAGTACAGCAACAGGTGGGAAAAGCGAGACAGAGAATGCAGATATACATGCTAGATAAAATACTTAACACTTAGTGGCGCTTTTCAGGGGCAAATTGAAATAGACTTGATTGAGAAGATGATTGGAATCTATTCATTCAGACGTAAAACTTGTGTTATTGAACATTGGACTTGAAGATGGGTAGAGGTAGAAGGGGCAGAGTGAATGTGGAGCAAAAAAGATGATTCTACCGACAGCATCAGACGATCCTTTTTGGACAAAAAGTTTTCATAGTCAAGTAGTCACACTAACTGTTTGAGACAGAAAAAAAAAAAAAGTTCTGAAACCATACAGTGGACAGGCTTCTTAAATACTCAGCCTCGATGTGAAAATAACAGCAGCACAGAATATCTTTTATCCACCGACGTGTGACCTCTTAATATTCACATAGCTGCGAAACGTTCAGGAAAACCAAACAATAAAGATCTACAGTCACTCATATCTTCTTGACCTCTAAAAAAAAAAGAAGGGATGCAGGGAACTTTAAATCAAGTATTCACTGTACTTTTCTTCATGACAGCTGGATTTGAGTATCTACTGGACCGTAGACATTTACAATATAAAACCCTTCAAGCCTGCAGTCGAGATGTCCTTTGTTAGGCACAATAAATAGGCCCCTGTGGTATTAAGGTTCAGAGTGACAAATTACTCAGAACAGTTCTGATGTCTGAGTGCAGGTTGTGCACTAGAATAAATCTATTTTAACCATAAATAATTTAGGTCTCAAATATATATACTAAATCCAGTAAACATCTACTACATTATTTTAGAATACATTCTTAATGTATGTACAAGAAATCAGAACACGTGTTACCATTTTACGGCCCGAGCTCCTAAAGCACGGATCTGTCCACTTGACGTATGTTTCAAAGAATCGGATCCAGTTTACAACGCGGGCTCACCTCTGCTGCCTCGACCTTTGCTTCCGCTCTGTAAACACTATGTACAGTCTTAGAAAATACACTAAGAGGCCTGATTTTACAACCTGTATGATGGCGCTATGTACATTCAGGCAACAACAAAGTGAGTAACCATGTAACATGATCCGAGGATCCCTTGAGAAGTCTCTCACTTTACATAATGTCAGTTGACAAACCCATGAGCCAGATTACCTTCATCATTCTTCCGTAGTGGTAATCAATTATCACCACACTGTACATACAAACATGTTGATTGTGATCACACGGTAAACATCACGGTATGACAGATTGTGCTGCTGCTGCTGATGCGGTTGGCAGTGTCACTTGCAGAAGTAAACCAGAGGTGTGATTCCGTTTTGGCTCTTAGTTAAGGCAAATTGTTTGGCACTTAGTTTGTACAAATGATTTGATATTTCGAAGATAATTCAAATGTTTTCTCCACCAGTTCCAAGGGTTCTAATGGAGACGCGTCCTCAGCTTATCACGACCAGCCTCAGTCTGCTGACGTGATCCGAAAAGGTGTTTTTGACGGTGGATGGTACGTGGACTGCAGCTGAAGTTGGCTCGAGGATCCAAAGACGCACCTTTTTGTCTCACATGAGTTGCGATTGTGTTTTTTGTTGTTGTTCTTTTTTACCAAACAGCAACAGCAGTACAGCTTCTACCCCGACACCCAGCTGTGCGTAGTGCTCTTCACTCCGTGGGAAAAACCTTGCTGGGTCATCATTGGCTCAAAGTTGAAGTCCAGGGAGTCCCCGTCCATCAGAGTGTCGTGGAGGACCGTCTCCATGTCGAACTCAAACTTCTCGATGGACATGTCGTCCAAGTCGCTGGGCAGCTTCTCCGGGTGCAACGGCTGCGGCAGGCCCGGCCGGCCGTATCCGTTGGTACTGAGGGGGCAGAAGCCACCGGGCATGCCTCCTGCGCTAAGGTGGCTGGAGAGGCCGTACGGCATCTGCATAGGGCCTTTGACTGCGGGCAAACGCGCGGGGCCCCCGTTGTGGCCCCCGTTGTGGCTCAGCGACATGAGCAAGCGTCCGTTCATGGCCGGGGACGTGACCGGGGCTTGGCCGTGAGCGCTGCGGCCGTGAGTGTGCCCCAGGACGTGCGGATGAGCGCTCCCGCCACCCATGAGTTTGGCCGCGTGCTGACCGCTGCTGTACGGCGGCAGCATGCAGCCCCCGCCGGACTGAGACACCACCGTGTCCACCGACGGCATGAGCTCGCCGTGCTGGTCTGTGTCTGACGTCAGCAGCTCCTTCAGAAGACCCGCGGGGCAGCTGTACTGGCCCATGGCGGGCCCGAAGCTGGGCTTGCTCTCTGGCAGTGTCTGCAGCGGCATGGACGACAGCGTGCTCATCCCCGCTTGGCCGTACACACACTTGAGGTACTCCTGCTGAGGCTGCGGGGCCATGCTCGGAGAGCTGTAAGCGGGGTACCCGGGGCTCGGCTGCATCATAGGAGACGGAGAGGACTGGGAGGAGCCGGGGGTCGTCGCACGTCCCCCGACCTGAGGGTTGTTGGGCGACAGCAAGTTCAGGTTGTCCAAAAGGTTCTCCATGATATTCTCGGAACCGTGTCGCAGGGAGCCTGTCATCTCCGTGAGGCTGGGCAGGGTGGCTGTCATCTTCGCCCCGGGAGCCCCCGGGTAGCCCATATGCACGTCGCCCTCCCCGAGATCGTCTTCGGGCATGAAGGGCGAGAGACGGCCGCTCAGGGTGCTGGCGTTGGAGCTGGTCCGAGGCCTGAAGCTGTTCCATGCATCGAAGTCATCGTTGCTGTGGGAGTTGGGGCTGCCAGGCCACTTGGAGTAGGAACCCGGGCTGTCTGCGCCTCCGTCAGGGCCGCCTTGCAGGGACAGCTGTGGGGAGACAAGGAGATTCACAGTGTGCTGTATGTGCCAGAACCAGTCAGTGCAGCATGTGTTTTAGGAAGATACCGTTGGCAATACAGGAAGGTTTGATTTTAAAAAAATATATACAGTACTACAGTAGAATAAGTATTCTTGTTAAATACCGCTTTGATAAAATCTCTTGTCAGCAATGTTTAAAGACATAACTCTACTATGCTAATAACACCAACTGTAATTTAGCCATCCAGACCAAGAACAATTAGAATATTACCAAAATCACATATGATGTCTGTTCTTTTTCATGATACCGTACGAGGAAAATGCAGTTAAAACTCCTCTAGCTATGATATTTTGTGTTTACCTTTTTCTTAGCCGCTCTGCCTCTGCTCTTGGTGAACTTGCTGTTGTTGTCCATGGAGGCCGCCCTGCGTCGCGGGGACTTCCCGCTCTTGCCGCCCTCCGGATTAAGCATCCACCAGGAACTCTTCCCCGTGCCCTCGTTTTGCACGCGGATGAAGCGGCTGTGCAGCGACAGGTTGTGCCTGATGGAGTTCTGGGGGAGGAGTAGAAAGAGGGAGGCTGGGTGAGAGGCAGACAAACCCCCAAAGTAGACAACAGATTTGTGCTTGCCCTTTTCCGGAAACCACTCAATTCCGCTGTAGCGTACAAGTGCAAATCCATCCGTACACGGTGGTTGTTTTTTAAAAACACACCTGTCGACAGCTGGCTTTACAGAAGAGAAAGGAAAGCTTTTTAAGGTCACTCAACAATCTACTACCGTGTGCAAAGACACACAATGTGCACATACAAAACACACACTCCTCCCCCTCCACCCTCACACACACACACACACACAGTAGACGTTAATAATAATTTTATCCATGAGCAGTTCAGCCTGACCAGAACAAGGATTAATCTACAACACTCTCATCTGCACACCACAGTGTGCATCAGGGCCTTTATTTCCTTCACAAAAAACAGACGGCATAATGGTATAATGTTTTAAAACAACATTATACCAACTTCTGACTTTGTGTTTTGTCCGAACCAGCACGGAATCGAATGGAGGAAACCGGCACATTAACGTTGCTTAGTGACACCCACAGTGGAAAAACTCATTTTTGTGCAGGAAGCTACTGAAGCAGCATTAAAACACTGCAAACAAGAGCCAGAATATTGGGCAAACGTCTGCTAAGCTAACCACACAAACTCCATTTCTGTTCCACTTTATTGGAACCACTGCTGTACTGGGACACTTCATTTGTTTTTGGTCCGGTTAGGATTTTTAAACGCCTAGTCTGTCCAAAAGGTTACTGAAGTGACCGTTTAACCCTCAGAGGATCATTTACGCTCTTTGGCCCCCGTATCGTTTTGTGTCCGGGCGCACAACATGAAGTAATAAGCCTTGGCCAGACATTACTGTGCCTACGTAAAGCTTGTTGTTTTGGAAGAAAGGCTGGAACTCCCGACACACAGACACTCACGAAGAGCTTAGCGTGCATGGCGGCTAACGTCATCGAGCCTGTTCCTGCTGTGAGTCAGCGCTTCACATCTGGTTCACAGTCTGCCCTCTGCTCTGCCTTCATCTCTGCCCTGCCTCATCTCTACCGTCCCACTCCAACCATCCAAGGGACACATTTGAGAAGATAAATTGAGAGAACAAGATCCTGTTATGGGTCCACGCTGCATTTCTCATAAGTCAATTGCCATCTTGATAAAAAACCTTTTTCAGTTGTAAATCACTCTTACAAAGTGATTGATCTTGACGCCATCATCAGGACATCATCAGTGTTATTCTCTCAAACTTTGGAAAGCTCCCTCCTGAGCCCTCGAAGACATTGTACAACTGTTTGACAATGAAACCAGAGACAGGAAAACTCCTCGTGACACGTAAACTGACCTCCATGAGTAAAAAAAGTCTTCCAACAGAATTGTTGTTCAATTGTTTTGACTAATCTGCCGTGTCAAATGCTATTATCTTCCATTCCAGCCACGTCACTCTCTATGCTTTTCCTGTCTCTCCTCCCGGCCGGGCACATGGGGGCTCGCGTGAACACCGGCCCGTCACAAATGAACCCGACTGCCTCAGCCAATCAGTCTCCAGCTGGTTTGCCCGAACCTGAGCGACGTGAGCGCCTTTCCCTCATTGGCAATGAGCAAATGCTCTTCTGCCGTCACCTCGCCGTGCACATCGCCGACAAAATGTAAAGAGTCAATTCTGCTCATGAGCCACTCCTTTCGTCCTGTTGAAGCCTTACGTCTTCCCGATGACGGGAAGGGGAAAGTGACGGCTAAACTCTCCCTCCTTTGGAGCCAGTGTTTTTTTCCTTTTTGGCCGATCTCAAAGTCAATAGCGTGAGAGTTTTGATGAGAACATTGTAAAACCAGTTCAAAAGTCTTGATGTACACGTGAGGGGTCATAAACTCCTCTGATGGGAAATACCAGAACTCGGCAGGACTTGGTGTGCCGTGTGGGGAATGTGGCTGAGGGTGTTTGGTGGGGCCAATGGAAAAGGCTCGTCTCTCAGTGTGTGTGTGTGTGTGTGTGTGCGTGTGTGCGGTCTTGTGAGGGAGAGCTCATAGTTTTAGTGCACTGGCAGTACGACAAACAGCAGCGTGGATGGTTTTGATTCTGTTGCTCCCCTCAATGCAGTCTGTTATTGTGGTTTGAAATAGTGATTTGGGAAGAACACTCGCACATGAACACGCAGTCATGTTACAGTCAATGACGCAAACGCACGACTGGACGAATGCATGAAAAGGTTTTTGTGGGTTTTTTTTTTTTTGCAAATTGAAAGTGTGCTTCTTCGGGATTTGGGGACTGTATGTGACACTGATTTATCTGGGGAATACACAGGAATCTTAACATTCCAGCTAATCACCGTGTGCAAAGTTCAATCTTAATCAGAGCCAACTTGTTAGTATCTCTTAGGAAACAGTAACGGCAGGATTCCCAGCCAGGCAGCCATCACAATCAACATTCCTCGGCAAGGTTACAAAACTTTTCACAGAACTGAACTCCGATTACCGTTGCAGGAGGAAGGACCTATCTTGTGTTGTATAAAAAATAAGGAATAACACCCTCCCATCTCGTAAGTACTTGTGTTTCTTCCCACCTGTCTTGGAACAGAAATAAAACGGCAAGCAGCTTGCCAAAGGACAAAAATATATAATGTCGCTGGCAATTATTGTACAGTAACGGGAATAGAAACGCTTATTGTTGCACTGAGGAATGTAATCATTTGGAAACCGGCAGCAACTTGACGTTATCTCTGAAGGCTAGTTGGTGTAGCCAGAGATAATAAGCTATAAACTAAAATAATCCGCCCCAGCCCACCGCAAGGAGCACCACCTCTGTTCTCTGAGTCAACACAGCGGCGCTGGCAAAACACGAGGAAGTGACCACATGAAAGAGCACCGTGACAGGAAACGGAGCTGACTTCCTGTCTCACAGGAAGCGCGGTGGTCATGAGGCGGAGAAAAAGCCATGGAATGTGAAGCCACAGCGCCGTGAGCAGAGTGGACGGCACACATTTAACTCGCCCACCCCCCCCCCGCCCCCCCCCCCCCTCTTGCCCCCAACCAACATGGCAATAGAGTTCATGTTTCGAAGCGGGCATAATCCCTGATGTCACACTATATGAAAAGTAATGTTCCCTTCGTCGTGTGACTGCTGGAACTGAATTACATGAGTAGATGCGTCATGACTCTACCGTTGGCTGCAGTAAAGACGTCTGGGTTGTGTGTGTGTGTGTGTGTGTGTTTTGAGGGGAGGCTATTTGAGAAACAGAGAAAGAAGGGTTGTGTGTGACAGAGTGAGCATGCATCTGTAAAGAACACACTGTGCTGGTTTGAACTCCCGCACTGGCAGCGGCACTGAAAGGCCACAGTGTTCAGTGCATCGCCCTCTCCTTGTCTCCTTCTCTTTACTCCTTGACTCCTTTTCCTTGTTTTAATCTTCTCTCCTTCCTGCCTTGTTTGTTAACATTTTTATTCCTACCTCATCTCCTCCGTTAAATGACCTCCTTTGTCCTCTCGTCTCCTTTCATTATCTTTTTTTCTTCTTTCATCCCAAACCTTATCACGTTTCCCTCTTTGTCCTCTCTTCTCCCTCTTCCGATTCTCTTCTTCCCGCCTTCTCTCCTTTGCTTTTTCCCTTTCTCCTCCACTCCTCCCCTGTGCTCTCTTACTTCTCCTGCAGACAGAAGCAAAGCACCTGCAATGACCTGGAAGCCGCCGGAACACTGTCCGAGGTGCTGACGCTCTCGGAGCTGCTCAAATGTCAACTCGCTTCATAAAGAAAAAAAAAAAAATCCCCAGCGAAAAGGAACACAGCCCACTCGCAGGGCTGCTTTGAATAAAGAAGCCACAAGTGAAACCTCAGCTGCAAAGCCCATACAGCTACAGCTTTAAAGCTTCTGCAGCAGTGCAACTTCCTCACTGACTTGAAGCGAGCAGTAGATTGCACGCCAGCCAGTTCAACTGAGAAGTTTCACATACATATGTGCCAGAGATATGGAACCGATGAAAGTGAAATAAGAATGCGGTTTCCCTGCACTATTTCTCGTGAACTCATTAGAGAGACGGGGCCGTCCTGAACGAGCCGTTTCAAGCAAAGTAGGTGGGTGCCTGCACCGTAACTAGCTATTTTCTGTGGAACGTCTGCGGATATGAAGAGGGCAACCTACAGGGTGTGTAGTGCACCACTTGTAACCGCCAAAATTAAGTGGCCCCAAATCTGCAGCTTGGTCATGTCTGGGGCCCTTTTTTTGCTGAGTCCGGCGGAGTTTGCGCGATGTGGTTCGGGAGAGAAAACACGTCAACCCGTTATTAGCGCCGCACCAGCTCAGCAGCCTTCCCGCTTATCAGCAGTCTGCGGCTGCGCGCAGAGTTCCAGGTGAGCCGCGGAGGCGACAGGTGACGGGGGAGGGGGGGGGGGGAGCGCCACTCAGCGCGTGGAATCACACACAGTCATCGGGGGGAGCCACTAGCGGCAGGTTTTGGCCTTTAGTTATCTGTCATCCATTGCAACTGATTCCCACAGGTCATGAAATCAGGTGCGCTGAAGGTGGTGCATCGCGGTGAGCTGGGTGGAGGCTGATGAGAGGGAAAACCCCTGCAGCCGGGGGAAAAGAGCAAAACAAACATGAGCGAGAACTAATTGCTATTTTTCTAGCGTCACTTGGTCTTGGCTAAGGATACTAGATAATATTTTGGACAGCTTTCAAGACCAAATGGCCTAAAACTGCGTTGAATCATCCATAATGGGTTGTGGGGTGAATTTCTTTCTGGTTATTTAACGGGGTGGGGGATTTATGTCAGTTTTCAATAAAGACAGGATCAAATGACTTGATTTACAAGTGTCTGCAACTAACTTTCCCCTTATTTTGCTGAGTCACAGAGTATTCAGTCACTGTGCGAATACTTTGTTTGAGCTGGTGCAGCTTTACAGCCATTAACAACAGCCAATTTATTGTTTTTTTATTGAAAATAAAAAGGAGACTATTACGGTCTTGATAAGTCTCATGTTGATCTTCACACATTACTAGACAA